TCCTTAAATATTTACTGAAGAAGGGAAGTGCTATTGAGATTCCAGCCACACCAGTCTTCAGTTGCTTGCTGTAGTCCCTGTAGCATGGCCTAGATTTGGGACCTTTGAAGATTTCATGCAAGAACTATAAAATTTATGTGATTGCACTATGTAAATAATCCCCCCTTTTGTATGGGAGATATAATTTTTGTGTCAACCTTCCAATTAGTGCTGGCCATCCGGGACTGGTTTGCAAGTTGTAGTTGGTAGGGATGTGGACTCCACCTGGATTCACTATTTTGAGCAGTACTGCTTGTGCTGTAGTATTTGTACCTGAAGGAAACTGATTGCTAAACACCACAGTAAATATTCACAACAAATTAAATAGTACCTCCTGTCTTTATGTTTACCTCTAATTAGCTATAAAGCATTAATAGACATATATTCATATTAAATATCTAATTATTTCTCATGATACCCATGGGAAGCAAAGATGGGTGGGTCATGTCATTTCCATTTTAAGAGGCAGTAATTAAACCTTGCCTGAAGTTACACATTGCGTGAACTCCAAGTCTTGACTGTGGTGCAATGTCTGCCAGCTGGTGCAATGTCCTGCTCACAGTATTGATTCATTAGACCTTGGTTAGTGTTCAGGCATAAATGTCTAATTTTAAAATCCTATGAAAACATATATGGCATATTATGAAGAGTAGCCGCTAATCAGAAAATAGTAACATCTCCATTCCTAGTGGTTTATGTTTTTAAAAACGAAAAACAGCAGAACAAAGTAAAAAGTACAAAACGATAAATTTAAGTTCAATATTTAAGACAAATATGCAGAGCTTCAAAAAATTCATGAAAAATCTATATTACAAAAAGTATACATGACTTTTGGTACCAAAATAAACTTACCTTTTAAAAAATTTACTTATTAATCCAAGAGGCAGAGATACAAAGAGTTTCCATCAGCTAATTTACTCTATATATGCCTACTACATAGCTCGGAGCAAAGCCAGGAGCCAGGACCTCAATCCAGGAGTCCCACATGGATGGCAGGAATGACTTTGAGCTATCAGGCTGCCTCCCAGGGTCAGCATTAATAGGAAGCTGGAGTCAGGAGCTGGAGGTAGAAATCAAATCTGGGTACTCTTATAGGCATGGGCATCCCAAGTAACCTCTTAACCACTAGGCCAAACTTGTGCCATGTAAGCCTTTCTTGGTAAAACTTTATTCTTATTATTTATTTTTATTTTGAGAGAGAAACAGACAAACAGAGAGCTTTTATCTGGTGATTCATTCCCTAAAAATCCTCAACAGCAGGGACTGGGCCATGATGAAGCTGGGAGCCAAGAACTCAATCCAGATTTCTCATATGGTTCGCAGGGACCCAAGCATTTGAGCAATTGCTTGCTGCCCTCAGGGTGCTCCCTAGCAGGAAGCTGAGATCTGGAGCAGAGCCAAGACTCAGATGTGGAATGAAGTGATTCAAGTCACATCTCAACTGGTCAGCCAAACTTTCACCTCAACCTTACCTTTTAAATTCATGTTTTCACCAATTTTCTGAAGACCTCATGCATATCATTGATATGGTCATTTAGTAAGTAACTGGAGAGTTAAAACTTACCTGTAAGAAACACATAGAATTGTAAATGATGCAAGATAGCATAAATAGATGCCAAAATATATGTTTAGGGTTTTGTGTCCTGGAAAGGAGAGACATTTTATAAAAGAAATGCAACTGGTGATTTGTCTCAAAACATTAGCAAAGTTTGTTCAAGTGGAACAGAGTGTGTTGGAGAAACAGAATTCAAGTAGGAAAAGGGAGTGATGAATGTTACTTTCTGGAAGAGACAGAAACATGGGAGTTTCCAAGTGCTCCTTTCCTACTATGAGAACTGAGGGCAGAGAACACTCTACTGTAAGCAGAGAGGAAAAACAAAAGTGCCGAGCAGGTAAGTGGGAGACTTGACTGGGTTTCTGTCAGTTCTTTTTTTTTTCTGTGCTTCTGCTGCATCTGTAATCTGTCTTGGTATCTTTTTTTGTTGTTGCTGCTGTTAAGTCAATAAAGAAGCAGTTAGTTAAATCAGGGATTCTAGTAAGGGACACAGAGGACTACTTCCAAATGTAAACCTTGATGTAAATACTGAGAACCCCCCTTGTCTACAGCTAGCTTTTCTGGTCATCCTTGGGTTGGAAGCTGGCTTGTTGGGTTGGCCAGCTGAGTTTAAAGGATAGGTGCTGGTGGTGGGCCGGGAGGGGACCCATGTTGTCTTGCTTCAACTACTCAGGCTACGAGGCTTTGGATTCTTCTGAGACACATTTCCATGAATACAGAGAAACCTTGCTCTCTGAGCATTTATAGGATGAGCACAACTGGATGAAACAACCACAGATAAAACCAGGTAGATTGCCTTCTAAAGGCAGAGAATTCATTTGTATGAAACCGGATCACCTACTTAAGCATAGCTGTTTGGGCAGAGTATTTGCTCTGGTATTATTTATAACATGATGTTTTAATGACAGACTGCAGCTGGAGGTGACTTAAGTTTATTTTGCTCCTTTGTGATCTTGACAGCATTGTAATTCATATTCTGTACTTGAGAATTACTGAAATTTTGTGAGAAATTACTGGTAGAATTGTTTAGTGTTGGGTGGACTGGACAGTTATCTTTATTAATGTTTTTTGTTTACTGATTAAGAAGCATAGGTAAAGTCAATTTCAAGTAGTCTACTCTGAAGTGTCTCCTATAGTGGGTTCACTCAAAATTTATTGTTACTGTTTTTGCGATTTCTCTATATTTTTCCACCTGTATTTACTTTTGGCTATTTTTACATATGGTACACTTATATATGCCATTTTCTCTAAATTAGTTATGAAACTGGCTTTAGTGGAAATATCTTTTTCTATGTATTACATTCATCTCTACATCAGTCACGGAAAGCACTTCAGAAAAGCTTTGTACCTTGAAACATTTCAAACGTACAGAAAATTAGATGAGTACCCTGGCCACACAACTCTAGTAATTTAATATTTTGCAAAACTTACTTCATCTCTACTCTGTGGTGGTGTGGTGAGAAGACATGAGAAAGAAGTTAAAGATTCCTTGAGTCTACACAAGGATGCTCACTTGATCCTGATGTTCCAGAAAACCCATGACTTACAAAACATTCTGCATAAAGAAACACTGGAGAGAAACCCGCCAGCAGTTTTCTGGCACTCCTTTAGTTTGAAGACTGCTTGGCAAGAAACCCAGCTTTCGTTTCACCCTGAGGGTCAAATGGCTGAAAACACCAAGTCCATTAGGACTCTCACAGCCTTGCCCTCAGCCCACACTCCAACCTGTGGCTGCACTGAATTTCAGCTGTTACTGCCGCATGGTAGCAGATGCAATCTCTAAATATCACTGAGAAAAGTGCAGAGGTGAGGAAGCTGGAGTGGAGGACATGATAGAAAGAAAAAATTCTCCTGCTTTGCGGGTGGGGTGGGGGATTGAGGAGAAACTACGTACAAATTCCAAAGCATTTCCTTTAAGAACTTGGGTTACTGCAAAGTAAAGCATGAAGTGCCCTGCAGGGCTTGTGAATCAGATCACAGGATCCACCCAGAGGTCTGATTCTGTCTAGGTGGGCAGAAACCTTGCATTACAGAATCAGACCCCGGGTGATGATGCTGCGGCTTGTCTGAAATTACAAGGGCCCGATTAACTCTTAGGTTGGAGCTCAATCGAAGTCCAGTCCACTATTAACATCTCGACCCAGCAGTCCCAGGGCCCTGCGCTACCAAGCCCTGGCGCACAGCTGGCCTCTGTCCAGATGCAGCTGGCCCATAGGTCACTCCTCCGCCGCGGGGATTCGGTTAGTTAGGCCAGGGAGGGGGGCTGCAGGGGCAGCTGTGTCGCCGTCTTACAGAAGGGGACCCTGGCAACAAGCAGAGACCATCAGCCACCGGAGTGTTGCTCTCTTTCCTTTCGCAGCCGTTGGCTAGTCGAGGGCCACCCCGACGATTCCGGCGCCTCGGGGCGGGACCCGGGCAGGGCAGCAGCCTGTGGAGGAAAGCGTGTCCGGGATGAAGGAGGCTGTGAACGATCCCGGTCCCGTCAGCTCCGGGCCCTGTCCCGAGGGCCCGCGGCACCCCCATGGCCACACGGAAGATGGCTGCCCCGAGCAGCAGAGGACAGTCACGTGTCCCGGCGACACCGCCGCAAGCCCCCTCCCCCGCTAGCCGAGCCAGACGCCGTGACAGGCACAGCCTCCGTGACAGGCGGCCTCCCGGCCGTGAGGCTGGACGCAGGGAGTCCAGGGAGGACGCGGCGGCAGAGGGCCGGCCTGTCCGCCACCGGCCTCGACCGCGGGTGCCGGAGTTCCGCTGGCGGAGCAGAGGGAGACCTTCCTCCGGGCGACCCAGCACCAGGTCTGCGTACTGGGCATGCGCCGCGCTCGCGCCCGGGCGGCCGCTTTCCGGGTTTTCGGTGCAGCGCTTTCGGGGCGGCGGAGGTGGAGCCGGGCCGGAGTGGGGGCGGCCCCGGCCCGCCCCGAGCCTCTCCTCTGCTCTAAGGGCCTGCGGCGTGAGAGTTCTGTTATCTTAGGGGCGGGGAGGAAGAGTCAAATTTAATGCTGAGAGGCTTGAAAGCGAGCCGAAAGGGTTTCAGGACCGTCCGTTTAAAAATGGGTGACCCATCGGGAGCGAGTCACCAACGTCGCAACCCCCGGGCCGGTGGGCCGGAAAGATCCAACACTACTTCACAAACTCGTGCCCCGCCAACCGGCTCCGTCCGGCTGCTCGGTCCCTAACCGTCCAAGCCAGCCCCGGGCTGCCCTCACTGAAACGCGAACGCCCCGGGCCTTCCGCTCCTGCCTGAGGAAAGTCCTGGTCCCCTCAGGTTCCCGTCCCATAGAGGCCGGATAAAAGGGAGGGGGTGGCCCGAGTGTCCTGCGTCCCGACCAGGTCTCCCACAGTCCGCTGAGGAACCCCCAGTGGTCCCCCCCCTCCCGGACCCCGCCCGGCCAGCCCGGCCCGCCCCTCACTCCCCCGGCCTTCTCGAACACCCGGAGAGGCGGACTCTGGTCGCGCGGGAAGCCGGGCCGGCTCGGCCGCGGACTGGGCATGCTCCGCAGCCCGGGAAGGCTCGCGGTGGCAAGTCGGAAGCGTTCGCACCAGCGAGCCGGGCAGCGGCCGGGCAGCGGGCAGGACGCGAACACCACGGCCCGGACAGGCGGCTCTGCCTGGCGCCCGACGAGCCGGGCCTCAGAGCGCGAGCCGGGCGCCAAGCCACGACGCTGCTCTGCCCCGAATTTCTCATTCGGCGGCTGTTGGGGGGTGGTGGGGCTCGGCGAGCGGAATTCCGGCGGCTGCCGCGACTCCGAAACCAGTGAGTCGTGGGGTCGGGGGCGGAGGCCGGGGTGGGCGCGACGGGACGCGGGTGGCGCGGGCCCGGCCTGGGGCGGCCGAGCGGCGGACAGCCCTTGGGGCGAGGGGGCGTGAGCGCAGCCCGCGCGGTGCGGCGCGCGTACCTGGCGGGAGCTCCACCGGTGCTCGCGGCTCCCGGGGGTGGCCGCGGGGGCCGGCCCGGCGGCGGGGACGCGGGGCTCGGAGGGGGCGGGCATCCCTGGCCGTGTCGGGGCGGGGAGGGAGGCGGGGGCATCCGTGGGTACCTTTTCAGAGGTGCTGCGTGCGGACTGGAAGGCTGCCTGGAGTCACATTGGGGCGGGTGGGACCTGGCGCGGCCAGAGAAGCCGGCCGGGAGGTGTTTTCGGGTGGAGGGTCTCCCGTTAGGGTCCCGACACCCCAGGGGCCAAGTCCGCGGCACGGCCCCACCCCCACGGCCCGGGCGGCGGCTTGACAGTTGGTACCGCGGGGGTCGGATCACGGTGGCCCAGGCGTCCATGGTGTCGGATCCCCCTGTCGCGGCCCCTCGGTGCCCCGCGACGTCAGGACAGGTGGGACCCCCCACTTCTCGGAGGAGGGAGCTTTTCTCTCCAGGCCTCGTACCAGCTCCCCGGCCCGCGCGCGGCACGGAGACCTTGCGGGCTGCCCCCCACTCCGACTGGAGATGCTTACGGGGTAAGGCCTGGAGGTCCCCGGGGGGCGCAGTTCAGATCTAGCCCTTGTCTCCTGGACGCTGCTGGCCTCTCGAGTTGCGGGGGTCTGCGCGATCGCGAGTTGCCTCGTCAAGGGCAAAGCAGCCACAGCAGCCACAGCAGCGGCCGCCTCTCCCACCTCTCAAGCCAAGCCTGGGCTTGTGGCTTCCTCCTGTGGTCGAGTGGGGTACCCCGGTCCCGCTAACGGATTCAGCTGGCGCGTTCTGGTTAACGCTTGTTTCCCTGTTGGGTGTTGCCAGTAAAAATCGGGGTAGGAGTTGCCGTGGCTGGAAGGTACGAAGAGAATCCGGACAGGTGCGTCTCAGGTGTTTCTTTTCACCTTCAAAATGATACCGACTTCAGCGGCTAACGCTTAGGAAAGCCAAAGTGTGAGCTGCCTTCGGGCAAGGGAAGTTTATTTTCTATGTCTTGCCGGGGGGCCTGCCAGCTGTTTTAGCTCCCTTGGCAGTTACCTTCCTGGACGCTTCAAGGCGTGTATTCAGGTTATTTTGCTTTTAGATTTTGGGGGTGTTTCTGGTTGGTTGCTTGGATGTGAAAGTGGTGAGTGCCTGCGGTGGTGTGCTGTGAACACCCCACGCTTCCTGGCACCGGCAGTTGAGCTTTCAGAGAGGACTGAGTGGGCAAAACGAGAGGAGTGGGGCTGGTGACGTTGGAATGCGATGCGCTTGGAGTCGCCGAGGACTGCCCAGACGTAATAGGGTTGGCTGCTGTTTGGGCCTGTGCAGGAGGGAGGGCCGGCTTTTCATTGGTCCGGGTGGTGAGGGTGTACGACGTCCACGGGAGAAGCCTGTCCCGGCATGGGAGTGTTTCTGGTCAGTGCTCCAAGGGAAGCCCAGGATGTTTGGTGATTCAGCAGGTGGCATTCTTCCAGCTCTGAAGCCATGCCTTGGCGGAGCAAGCAAGTGCAGCCTGTGCCTGCTGTCAGAGGTGCCAGCTCTGGGGGAATCTCAGAGCCTTACCTTCTGCTTGTAGCAGCTTCCCTTTCCTGATTTTAGTTCCATCTTAGGTATGGAGGCCCTGGTCCTTTAAGTTTCATCTTGCTGCTGCTCTTGGACGATCATTCTCTAGTTTTTGAGTTTCTGTATCGCTGTGACCTGCTGGGTAGCTGGAGGTGGCTGCTGCTACCAAGCAGTTTAAATAGCTAGCGGTTGTGCAGAGGGATAACGGTATGCAAAGCAGCAAAATCACCTTCTTCCATTTCTTCTTCAGAGCCGTGACTCCTCCCTCCCTCCCTTTCTCCTTTCCTTCCTCCCTTTCTTGCTTGTTTTCTCCCTCTCTCCCTTCCTTTCTTCCTTCCTTCCTTCCTTCCTTCCTCAAAACAGTAACATATTTCTGCAGTTCTTCAAAGCTTATAGGGACCTTTTTTTCCAAGATATCTGGAAACATTATTTTTTGAAGAGAAATTAATTCAAAGGGCAGGTTAAACTGTCATTAAAAGGTAACACTTCATTCATTGGAGAATCCTTAGCATCTTTGCATAGTGCCTGACTTATAGTATGTGGCAAGTGCTTGTTCAGCTGAAGTTTAAGATTCTTCATAATGGAAAAGCTTGTCAATAAGTATTGTGTTACTCATCTGTTTTAAGTTTATGAATGGAGTTAGAATAAAGTCTACACAGAAATACCGAAAGATCTTTGGTCCTTAAAGAACTCTATTTTTTTTTCAGGTTTGTTGACTAAAGACATGTCTGGCTATAGACTTTCAGTCTTAATTTGAAAGTACAATTCATTAATTTTTTTGGTTAAATCCTTTTGCTTTTCGATTATAGCAGATCCTGTATTTTAGGACCTGAAAAACAGGCGTACTTTGCTAATCTATCTCAAGAAAATCTGAAGGACTTCTACATAGAGCTGTCGATATACATGTTTTTAAAACTAAAAAGTACTTCTGTTGCATATCAAATATCCTTTAATTTACAAAATTATTTTGTAAAAAGCATTTTAGGAAGACTCCATGGAATTTCTAATTTTTTATCATCCAGTGCAAAGAGGAAACCTCTTTGTACTCTTAATGTAAAACAGTGGTTTGGATGTTAGAATGTGTGTGAGGACAAGGGCTCCTGGAGGAAGGTACTTGTGTAGCAGCTGCACTCATCTGTTTCTTACCCTCACTGTTCTGATCCTTTTTCAAAAATAGCAATTTCTTTTTACCCTAAGGATATATGTTCCTGGCACAGGTTTGCTTATTTAAAGCTGCTACTGGAGAACCTATTGTGTTTTCTCACATAAATTTGATTATTGGTGATTTTTATTTTCTGGTTGTCCCCTTAGACCTACCCAGCATTTTGTAAGGCCAACTGCTCAGTGACTGTCCAATGAAGTTCTTAGTTCCTGTTAGGGCATGGCACATTGTAGATGACTTTGTCTTTACTTTTCTGGCTGATAGTTATGGTCACAGCATTCTCTTCTGGAAAAAGTGCCATGGCATGCTTCAAAGAATTTTATTTTTCTGTTAGAGGCTGTTGGACTGGAATATAGATGATTGTTTAGTGTCTCCTATTACATTCCAATAACTCTGCCATCACCTTGAAACTATCCAATCCCTAGAGGCCTTATTGTGGCTCAGTTCTCTTTGAGTGGAGTTTTGGGGAGCATTAACGGATAATGGTGGTGGTGCAGGAGGAGTGGCAGTGAAGAAAGGAGTAGAGAAAGGCTGGTGAGGCTGCAGTTTAATAACTGTGACTTCTGGTTTCAATAAAACCAAAGTGAGTGAATAATGAACAAGTGTGGCTTGGTTGCCTACACACCTTGCTCTGCTCTTTCCCTTCCAAGTCCTCTTTATCACCATGTATAGAACAAGCAAGCACAGGAACAGACGTGTACTAATGTGCAGTCACAGAGGCACACCCAAGAGGGAAACACAGACATAGACACAAACAGACACAGCCAAAAGCCAAGACTGAACTTCTTTCTAAATGATACACCAGAGAGTGAGAACTTAGTTCTTAGCAGCTGTGGTGGATTCTGAGGGCCTGATTTCCCCCCCGCTTGTATTTTAGAAAAATTTCCTTGTACTCTTGGTGGCAAGCTAAATTCTGCTCCTGCTACAAAAAGTGAAACCAGTGGATGTTCTGTCTTACTCTCCTCAGGATAGTTGAGAGTGTAGCTGAAGGTCAGTAGTTCTCAGAGTGTGGGTTGTAACCAGCATAGATAGCAGTCTCCTCCAGGAATTTGTTAGAAATGCAGATTGTGGATTTGTGCTCTAGCATGCTTAGTCTGAGTTCTAACATGTTGGGCCTGAGGTTCTGATGATGGGGAAAGCTGAGAGCTACAAGACTCTCTGAATTGTGCCCAAGGGCTCTTGATTCCTAAGATCTCTGCTAATGTCCAATGTTATTCATTTTCCTCATTTTACTAAATATTTAGTGGTAACAAAGAGATCTTTATAATTTTAATGTAAATTTATGTGCTCTCTTTGAGAGTTGGAGCTCTTATAATGTGTTTGTTAGTGCTGCCAGTTTCTTTGGCCAGTCTTAGTCTGCTTTTCTGATGGGTTGATTTACACATGTTTGCTAGAGTATTCTAGATCCCACCTGTTACCCTAATAGAACCTGTGGGAATGCTTTATTTTGATTTGACCCAAAGCTATTACACCTTGTCTAAAGTTGCTCTTAAGGAGCCTTAGAATGATCTTCCTCACTCTAGGATGAAGAGGATATTCTATTAGTGTTTAAATTTTATCTTCTGCATGGAAGCTTTAGTGTATTTGAGACTCGTTTTAATGTATGACCTGAGAATGGAGCCCAGCTTTAGTTTGTCCTTTTTTAATTTTGTGGGACAGTTTCTCTTCTAGCATTCTTCCTCTCTTATTTCTTGTGGAGCAGCTTTTTATTCTTCACTAACTTCCCACATATATGCATAACCTTACTGAGAGTTATAATTTCCACATGTAAGTTAAATTCGTTTAAAGTATGCAGTTTGCTTATGTATGACAGGTGTGCCAACCTGTGAATCCACCAGCGCCACACTACTGAATGGAGAGCTCCCCTCAGGCTCTTTTCTGTCAGTTCTGCCCTGGTCCCCAGCCTTAGGCAGGCACTGATTTGGAGTTAGCCATCCTAGAATTCTGTCTCAGTGGACTGACTATACAGCTTGGTTCTTTTTTTGGTGTCTGGCTCTTCTCATTTGCATAAGACTTAACTTTTTAAAAATTGTGGTGAAATATGTACAGTGTAAAGTTGACCTCTCAACTACTTTTAAGCATGTAATTCAGTGATAGTAAGCACATTTGTATTGTTGTTCAAACATCACTGCTGTCTCATCTTCAGAAAATTTTTAATATCTAAATTTGGAACTCCATTAGACTTGATATCCTGATCTTAAAAGTGTTCGTGGAATTCCATTTTATAGTTCTCCATATGTTCCAGTCGTACGTGTTTTTATATCAAAATACTGTTACTGTACTTATTAATATTTTGTTCATTTGTAACACAGAGAACTTTCATCTACTTGTTTACTCCTCAAATGCCTACAGCATCTGGGACTGGGTTAGGTAGACCAAAGCTAGGAGATGGAAACTCCATCTGGGCCTCCCACATGAGTGGCAGGGACTGAGTATTTGAGCCATCACCTGCTGCCTCCCAGGGTTCAAGTTAGCCAAAAGCTGGAATTAAGGGTGGAACTGGGAGTTGAACCCAGGTGCTGTGATATGAGATGTGGATGTCCCAAGCATTGTCTTAAGTGTTGTGCCAAATAGCTGCCCCTCAATTTTTTTTTCTATTGTTATTGCTTTGTAGCATGTTTGATATGGCAGGGTGAGACCTTCCTTTGTTCTTTTTCAGACTGTG